CTGTCGCCTCCCTTACCGGTGTGACGTCACAGGCCCGGGCATAGCAGGTATGTTTTGTATAGTGTTCACCTTCTCACATTTTGCTTAATTACAGAGACAAACAAAATTTTGCTTGTTGGCAGCAATATAAGGAATTAGAGGTGGTGTTTTTGTTTTGTGAAGTCCCTTAATTGTAATAAGTTAATATGTTTAAATAAAAGGAAATAAATAGACCTTAGCATTACCTAGTATATCTGTTTGGGTTATATTCTCAAAACCATTTCTCTTAAGTATTAGTTCACTTAAGTATTCATTTGCCGCAAGGGATTTTTTAAATCTTCACCCGAGAATATGTTTTTTATTAATTTGAGAGAGGAATGGGGTAGAGTGAGAAACAGAAATATGGATGTGAAAGAAACATTGATTGGTTTCCACCCACATGCGCCCTGACCGAACCCAAAATTTAGGCATGTGCCCTGACCCGGAATCGCACCCGCAACCTTTTGGTGTACAGGATGACACTCAAACCAACTGAGTAACCTAGCCAGGGCTGTGCCAAGGGATTTACAATCATAAGATGTCCATCTATCCCTTAATTTTTAAAAATTACAGGTACTTTCTAATTCTCCTGATGTTCATTTAATCCCTTCTTTTAGATGATCCATACTACTTAACACATGTTCACTTCCTAAGATTGACTATTTAGAAATGAAATACTGTATGCATGGCAGTGATTTAGCTCAAGGAAATCTCAGGGTAAAATCTATTTAATCGTATATTAGTGCTGGTTAATGAAATTAGGTTTTTAAACACTTAAAACTCAATATCTTTAGGAAATTGCCTGCAGTTATTTGTAGGAATTAGTCAGTGTATTGAGACAGATTCAGTAACAAATATTGCCTTATATACAATTTATAGAATCACTACCTTTTGTAAAGCGTCAGTTATAACAATATTTAATTATTCTACATAAAAGAAACATTTAAATAGTCCCACTAGCAGGCTGTCTGAATTGAAGATGTAACCCAAGAGGGGCGTTATGCCTTATTACCTCACTGTTCTGGCAATGATAACAAAGCAGTTGTTACAGAAGAGGTCGGAAGTTTGAGTTTTGTGGGACATATTTTTACCTAATTTTATGAATTATATAGTTGAGGTAGCAGCATTGCGTTTACTGTGTTTCTGTAAGATACAGTTAATGCATAATAAAATCTGGCATAGGAATGGCCCATTGCTGTCTGAAGAGAATGGGCATTTACCAGCCTTTTCTTGTTTTCTTAAATGTTTAACTTCTTACCTAAATGGTATGTGACATTCACCACTACGTTCTACTTGCCACAGATGAAAGAGAATCACGCCTTTGCCACCACAGACATTGCACCGTTCAATGGATGGGACTCAAAGTGGTGGCCTGCGCACACACATCATGTATAGCATTGCTTTTTTTTGATGTTTTTATTGATTTTTTTAGAGAGAGAGGAGGGGAGAGATAAAAACATTGATGTGAGAGGGAAACATCAATGGGCTGCCTCCTGCATGTCCTCTACTGGGGATTGAGCCCACAATCCAGGCATGTGCCCTGACCGGGAATGAAACCAGGACCTCAGGGCATAGGATGATGCTCAGTCCACTGAGCCACACCGGCTAGGCCATATACCATTGATTTTTAAACTCATTGTTTATTCATTTGATTTAGTGTTTCTAGAATCTGTGGCTTTGTAGGAAGGTCCTCTCTAGCCTAGTAAACATCATCGCATATATTTTTTAGCACTTTTATAATTTTTTGTGCTTAATAATCTGGATTTGACTTTTGTTAATGATATGAAATAGGAATATTCTCATTTTTTCCCTACTATATATATTAACTAATTGGAATAGAAAAGTAGAGGAGTGGAACAGAATAGAATATAAAAATAGATCTACCAGGGGCCAAAACTACATTGCCTTAATAAATGACATTGTGTTATATGTTTTGATATTTGATAAGGTGTGTTTTCATCCTTATTCTTTTTTTAAAATATGTTTTTATTGATTTTTTAGAGAGAAAGAAAGGGAGAGAGAGAGAGAAACATCGATTGGCTGGTTCCTGCACTCCACCTACAGGGGATCTAGCCCACAACTCGGGCATGTGTCCTGACCAGAAATCAAACCGGGACCTCTCAGTCCATGGACGACACTCAGTCCACTGAGTCACACCAGCCAGGCCCTTGTCTTTTTTATGCAACTTGTTAGTTTCCATGAAAAGTGTGAGTGTGAGTTTAATTTTGATCGCTCAGAGTTCATAAGTCAAATTGGAGCAAACTGACATTTACAGTAATGTAGGAGCATAGATATCTTGTACAATATCAAGGATTTTAATCCAGGAACATGGCCTGATGTTACACTTATTCAGGGCTTTTTGTATTCTTTAATTAAGTTTTATAGGGGAGAATAATGTGCATTTATAATCAATAATTCTTAGATATTTTATAGTTTTTGATCTTTTCTGTTATAGTTCCTAAAACCATTGTGGTGTGGTGTGAGTGTGTATTCTGTTACTTTCCTAAGCTCTTATTAGTTCTAACAGTTTTTCTATTAAATCTCTTGGATTCTCCAAGTAAACAATATCTTAATCTCCAACTAATGAGTTCTGGTTTTCTTTGTCAAATTTTTATAGTTTTTTTTTCTATGTGCCCACATAATTTACCAGACTATAAGCAAGATGAAGATGAAAAGTATCTTACATTATTTCTTTTCTACAGAATGAGATGATTGCTAGGTGCCTCAAAAATTATACCAAGTATCATTTTCCAATATGTAGTCATATAGCTTTTGGGTTGTTTTATTTGATTTCAGCATACCCTCAAATGAACTTTATAAACCAGTCTGATTGGGGAAGAACATTTGAAAGCAGAGTGTTTGGAGATCCTGACGAAAGTCAGGAAGATGTAAATTTATTTGAAACAGTCACCTCATACTAATATTTTTATCTCTATCTATATACACACATGCATATATACATATTTGTTCTCTTACTATATAGTAGCAAAATTGAGCTATATTCCAGAATGAATATCATTTCAATCTTTTTTCTACAATTATATATTTGGACTCACTAGCAGGGGAGGACGAGTGGCAAATATCAATGGAATGATTTTCAGTTATATCTGCCAGTAGTTTCCAGGACATGTAAGTTCCGTATCGGCTAATTTCTTTATTTGTACTATAAAGGTTTGCTCCCATAGGCATGTTACATTGCAGCCCACTCAACTATTGATGTTTTCCAAAAGATACAGATACAGGTAGTTGTTGTTTGGGATCTTTTATTTGAAATACACCTTCCACCTCGTCTGTATTCAAGTATATGAATCCTTGTTTGTCCTTTAAGACTCAACTCAAATACCCTCCCCTCCATAAAATTCTTCCCTTTCTCAGGCAAATAAAAAAAAATTACTTGATGTATTCCTCTGTTACATCAGTTACCACATTATATTGTAGTTGTTTGTTTTGATTTTCGGTGTTCTGACGAAGCTGCGAGCTACCTCAGACTGTGTCTTCTTCATTGTGTAGCACGTGTCTGGCATAGAGTCGGGATTTTTGATGAATGATTAATGTGAATAAGTGATTACCAAAAATATATAAGGAAAGTGAAATACCAAAAGGGCTGTCTAAAAGAAAATCACAAATCTGACAATTTGAGGGCTCTGACATTTCTAAACGCCATTTAGGAATGTGCATTTTGATGTTGCAATATTGATTATGGTGGAGAAATGTGGTGGACACCAAGTGTCGCATGAGGCTGTGAAATCATGTTGAAAGTCAGGAAAAAAAATTCATTCTGCTACAAATCCTGTACATGACATGATTTTGAAATGTAGGAACAATGCAACCTCTGCTTCTATATATGCAATGTGTATTCCTAATTTACAGGTTACCATATATAGCATATAAGAGTTGCCAGTTTTCCCATGTGAGTATAAAGCACACCTTGACTGGCAGGGCCAGCTATGTAGACAATGGACTTGATTTCTTCTATCTCTGACCTTCTGTTCTCCTTTCTATTTTCATTGTAGTTTTTTATGTGTTTTTTTTTTTTGTTTTTTTTAAAAACAACTCAGTCCTAGTTTTTAAGATTTGGGGGGACATTACAGAGTTTTAAAGGCACAGTTTAGATACTTAACAATTGTTGAATTTAATTGAAAATATCAGTTTTCATTGTACCTATTTGGACTTGATGAATTATAAGTTTCTTTTAAATATTCTTCAGTGTGTCGAGCAAGGGATTTATACCTATTTTCAGTTACTTTTCAAATAAAACAAATATTTCAGTTGAAATGAGAACAATCAAGTTTCTTGTGACTATGTCTGAGTATCACATGTATAGTCTTTTGAATGATTTGGAAAGGAAGGAAAGCTAGCAGTATCCTATTTGTTCTGCTGCTCTCAAGCAATATTCTGAAAACCATTACATAGGAAGGTTCAGTGAGAATTTAACTTAAATCTACATGCAAGTAAAATGAGAGATGACAGATAAGAGCTTAACACAGCCCAGTACACTATAGAATAGAAATCAGTTTCAGTGATTCTGTGATTGAAATACATTTTGGTACTGACACACTACAGTGTTGAGGCTTGTAGAGGTCATACCAAAAAATAGGTTCAGTATGGGTGTTTGCTTAGGTAGCTTCTAGATGCTTCACCTTAGTTGTCTCAGGAACCAGCATTGCAGCTCGTTGGTATACTCCGATTCTGTGAAGAGTTATTAATACTGCTATCCAAATGTAGTCTGGGGCTATGATTGTCTACAAAACTGTTAAAAGTGGTAGAATGACTCATACATTTAGAAAATTAGTAAGTTATATTTATTCTCTTTAATTTTTCCTCTTAACATCTCAATTGACTTTAAAACCAAAACAGTTTAGATGAAATGATACAAAATTTGTAATTTATGTACTTGGGGATACTTAGGTTCGTTTGTTTTGTAGTAATTGAGAAAGCCATCTTTTGGGGATTATCATCTTTTCGTTCATCTCTCCCTACAGGTTTTCAGCACGTACTCCAATGAGGACTATGACAGGAGAAACGATGAAGTTGACCCCGTGGCCGCTTCAGCCGAGTATGAGCTTGAAAAGCGTGTAGAAAAGCTGGAACTTTTCCCAGTGGAACTAGAGAAAGGTAGATGAATTCTACAATGTTTATAATATTATTATGTGGTTGTATTAATAATACAGAAATGACTTGATTTTTCCCAAGTATAGTTTTTTCCCCTAAGAATTTGATCAAGTTTTAACTCTTATGGAGGAGTTTATCAAACTTCAAAAATAGTTGATATAGCCCTGGTCAGTTTTGCTCAGTGGTTAGAACATTAGCCTGCAGACTGAAGGGTCTCGGGTTTGATTCCCTAGTCAAGGGCATGGACTTGGAGGTTTGATCCCAGTTGGGTTTGTGCGGGAGGCAACCGGTTGATGTGTCTCTCTCACATAAATGTTTCTCTCTTTCTCCCCCTCCCTTCCTTCCACTCTTTCTGAAAAATCAATGGAAAAATATCCTCAGGTGAGGATTAACAACAACAACAACAAAATAGTTGATATAAATTCTATATAGATGGTGAATTGAAAGATTCTCTCCGCCCTTCCACTCCCAACTGAAACTCATCTACTTTAGTTGGCTGGGTGGTGGCTAGATGCAGGAAGGTATGAGTGAGGCCTGATGCTTGGTGGGTACTCGTGCAAGGGGCTGGCGAAGTGAGAGGCCAGAGGGAGCTGTTGTAGTGCGAGTTTGGTGCAAGTGGTTGTTTTTGGGTGATTTGATGGAGGTGGAGTGGTCATGGTTAGACTCTGAATGTGGTAGATACGAGGAAGGCTGGGCTTTCAGAAAATTATGGATTTTGGAATGAGGGCAGTAGAATACTCTTTATCTCTGAGTGGGAGAGGGCTAAAGAGCAGGGAGACTGGGAACAGAGAGGCTTCCTTGAATTCTCTCCCTGGGATCACCGACTGCCTGTTGTAGTAACAGGGAACCAAAGCACCAGAGGCCATGTTGTTCATCAGGTAAGACTGGAAGCTTGGAATTAGACTCTGACCAGTGAACAGAAGAATGTCACATCTCAGAATTTTAGAAAAAAGCAGAACAGATGACAACTTGAATAACCAAAAAAAGAAACAAAAAATCAAGTAAGAATATTCAAGGATGGCTTTAAAAAGACATTCTCAATCAAATGAATAATAACAAATAATAAATAACAATTTAAATAATAGAAATGTCAGTAGAGAAATTGAAGAGGAAAAGGTGATTATTGTTGGGATAAATTCTCAAATGACAGAGCAAAAATCCAAGAAAAACCATGAAAGAGACCCAACAGACAAAGAAGGGGAAATGGCACTAGAGGATGAAAGACATACTAGACAAATACTAGAGAAAAATTTCCTGAACACAAAAAAAGGTCGACCTGATCCTTGTATTTGAAAGGGCTTAGCCAACTGGTTGCAAGGACTTTAAAAAAAAAAAAAAATCTATGCTTAAGCGTAGGCCGGGAAAATTTTTAATCTTTAAGCATAAAGTGAAGATCTTACAAAATACCAGGCCAAAAATCAAAGCAAACAAGTAAGCAGAGATACTTGCAAAGTCAAAATAATTTGACTATCATCAGACTTCTTTCTTTTAATACTGCAAATAGGAGACGTACATGTAATTTCACATACCACTGAGAAGAAAATGATAGTGATCTAAGAATCCTGCATCCATCACAGAAATGAAAGAAAGAAATTTGCTGATATATAAGAATTTAAAGAACACATCACCCACATAACTTCCCAATTAGCAGAGAGGGAAAGAAATGACAAGCAACTTGTTGAAAACAGCAAAATGAGGGGTAAAGAATTGAAAACTATGTAAATAGTATTAAGCATAACATTGCTTGCATGGGAAAAATATGAAGAATACCAGTCATTACATTAAGCATGACTAGCTAATTGTTCATATTAAAAGACAATTTTATTTTGCCCGGCCAGTTTGGCTTAGTGGTTGAGCATCCAACCATGCACCAAGCAGTTACTAGTTCAATTCCTGATTGGAGCACATTCCCAGATTGTGGGCCCAATCCCCAGTGGGAGACATGCAGGATGTGGCCAATTGATGTTCTCTCTCATCGATGTTTCTCTCTCTTTCTCCCTCTCCCTACCTCTCTCTAAAAATCAATAAAGAAAAAAAAAAGATAATTTTATTTTATCTTAAATAAAATGTAAGAGTGATGCTTACATTTTTCACCTACTTAAAATTGTAAAAATCATTCTTTGCTCATGGCCTATAGGGCCGGATTTGGCTAAGGGCCATTGTATTGGTTATCAGAGCAAAAATGAGAACCCAAATATTCATCAGTGATAGAAAAGGATATATGAATTATTGCATATCTATACAATAAAATATTACTCAACAGCAAAAATGAAGGAGCCAAAGTCTAATATGTATGACTCTTACAAACATAAAATTCAGAGGAGGGGGAGCAAGTCACAGAAATCATTTAATATAATTCCATTTGTTTAAATTTCAAAACCAGAAAAAAAAATTAACAGCATATTGTTTAGAGATACACAAATAAATGTTTTTAAAAAGCAGTATGAAGAAAAGGAGAGAATGATTAACACAGTATTTAGGATAATGGTTACTGAGGAAGAGTTATAATATTTGGGAGGGGTACAGAATGGGCTTTTAGGGTATTGGTAATGTTCTGTGTCTTTGTTAGTACATGGATGTTTGTTTTATTCTTTCAACATGTTTTGTAGATAAATGATTTTATAAAATTTTTGTTTTTATGCTATATTTCACAATAATAGACTGGAAAGATTAATCTAGGAGAGAACCAAATGAAGTACAATTATTTATAATTTTTGAGGAACCTCCATACTGTTCTCCATAGTGGCTGCATCAATTTACATTTCCACCAACAGTACACAAGATTCCCTTTTCTCCACATCATAGCCAACACTTGTTATGTTTTGTCTTTTGATGATAGACATCCCAACAGGTGTGAGGTTTTGATTTGCATTTCACTGATAATTAGTGATGTTGAACACCTTTTCATGTGCCTGTTGACTATTATATATCTTCTTTGGAAAAATGTCTATTTGGTTTCTCTGCCCATTTTTTAATTGGATTTTTGTTTGTTTGCTATTGAGTTGCGTGAATTCTTTTTATATTTTGTATATTAATGCTTTATTATATATAGGATGTGCAAATAGGCTGCCTATTTAGTCTATTGATGGTTTCCTTTGTTGTAGTCCCACTTATTTATTTTTGCTTTTTTTGTTTTTGGTGGAGAATCCAAAATAATCATTGCCAAGACCAGTGTCAAGTCTGTGTGTTCTACTAGGAGTTTTATGGATTCAAGTCTCAAATTTAAGTCCTTAATTCATTTTGAGTTGATTTTCGGATATGGTGTAAGATAGGGGTCTAGTTACATGTGGCTGTCCATTTTCCCCAGCAACATTTGTTGAAGAGACTATCCTTTTTCCTTTGTATATTTTTGGCCCCTTTGTCATAAATTGACAAAATATGCATAGGTTTATTTCTGAGCCTTCTATTTTGTTCATTGACCTATATGTCTGTTTTTATATGACAGTGCCATACTGTTTTCATTACTATACCTTTGTAATAGAGTTTGAAATCAGGGACCATGATGCTTCCAGCTTTTTTTTTTTTTCCTTGTCAAGATTGTTTTGCTAGTCAGGTCTTTTGTAGTTCCATATAAATTTTGCGATTGTATGTCTATTTCTGTGAAAACTGCCATTGGAATTTTGATAGGGATTGCACTGAATCTATAAATTGCTTTGGGTAGTGTGGACATTTTAACAATATTAGTTCTTTGAACCCATGAGCATGGGTTAGCTTTCCATTAATTTATGTCTTCAATATTTTTCATCAGTGTCTTACATCTTTCAGCGGACAGATCTTTTACTTCCTCGGTTAAGTTTATTGTTAGTTATTTTATCTTTTTGATGCAATTTAAATGGGATTGTTTTCTAATTTCTCTTTTTGATGGTTTGTTGTTAGTGTATAGTAACTTAAATATGATATAAATAATAGATTACAATACCAATAGAGAATTTTACTTTTAAATTGAGGAAACACTAAAAAATTTCAGTTAAAACCAGGAATCACATTTTAAATGTTCTTTAAATATAACAATCATTATGCACAATAGAAAATGAAAGATGAAAAATAATCTTATGGTCAGATATAATGTAATAAAACATGTAACATATATAAGAAAAAACATATATATATCTCCAATGATTTTAATTTTAAAATGGTAGAATGAATAAGATTATATGTGAAAAACAACATCAGATACATGTAAGAAAATCAATAGTTTTCTCTAAATTTACATTAAAAACCTAGAAATGAAAAGAGGAGCAGTATTTATTTATAATAACACCACCACAACAAAATATTATTAAATTAATCACTAGGAAAAACATAGATTTTACCTGTAGAAAGTACATCGTTTTGAAAGATGTAATAAGTTAATAGAAAGATATACTATGTTGTTTGGTGAGAAGACTTGGTACATTTTGTATCTCTGATATCTATAAATTTATACAAAATTTAATGTAGTCTGAATAGAACTGCCATTAGAGTCTTATTGGGAGACATGATTCCATAACAAAATTCTAAATTTTATGTGGAAAAATATAGATGTAGGGAAGTATGAAAGAGACTGTGAAATGATTTAGTCTCCCAAATATATGATTATAATGTAAGGCCTCTCTAATCAGAATAAATTGTATTCATATAACAGTTGATCAGTTGAACACAAACAACATCCAGAGAAAGATGCTAGTGTGCATGAGAATTTATTATATGCCATGTATGATATTCTAATTTAGAGGGAACAGGGTACTTTACAGATTGTTCTGGCATAACTGAACACCTGTCTGGAGGGATACGAAGTGGGACACCTACACTTTTATTACATCATATATAAAAATAATGCTATATGGATGAAATAGTTAAATACTAAAAATAAAATAATAAAGGTATTTGACGAAATTTGTAAGACTATGTATTTTATCTAGTCTTGTGGGAGGAGGGACTTAATCAAAATGGAAAACCAAAAGTTATAAAGGAAAAGATGGACCAGTTCAATTATCCAAAACCTTTAGCTTTTAAAGCAGTATTGTCAAATATAGCTCATACATAAGTGATAAATTTGAGTGAGGGAAATCTTCATTATAGATGACATGGAGTAACTATCTATAATATGCTAGGAATCTTTCCAAATTATGAAAAAAGAGACAGGTAAAACTCAGTAGAAAAATTGGCAATTCAGTGAAGAGGAAATCTAATGGTCCATGCTCATAATAATGCAAGCTAAAATATCACTAGAAATGGGGGTACTTTCTTTCCTGGGAGAGAAGGTAAGCTCTGAACTCCGGAGTATGGTTATAACGTCCTCTGTAATAACACATCATCACAAGTCTTTTCCTGGTTGCTTTGCCTATTTATGCCTGTCCCTACAGTGGAAGACGGTGGCTGCAAGAATCAGTGGCCTTCAGGTATGGGGCTCTGGACTTCACCTGTGCTCAACAGACACAGCCCAGAGAAAGCTGTACAGAGATGAGATCAACCTCTGGTCTCCATGGGTTGATTGTACTTCTTTTAATTGCCTTTCAATATCACCACGTCTTTCAGTACTCTGTGCTGGAATTGAGGATGGCTCAAACTTATTATTTCCCACAATCAGTTTGTAACTCTGCAAAATTGAGTAATTTTCCAGTTAGTGCAATAAGAGAAGCTGTGGAAGGAAGAAAGATAATTTTAATAAAGCCTGAGTTCAGGCAGGGAAAATGGATTTAAAAACAAAGATGTAAGATATTTTCAGGAAGAAACTATTTAATGATATAAAACTACAGAGAGTTGACATTTGAGAGGAGCTGTTTGAAAGTATTGAGTATGAGAAAGTTTCACTTACAGCTGAATATTGGTTCAGCATGTGATGATTTATAATGAAGAGAAACTCCTATAAATACAACGAATGTGGAGAAGAATTCAGCTAATACTTAATATATACCAGAGAGTTTATACTGGACAGAAACCTTATGGCATTATTCAATGTGGAAGAACCTATAGAAGAGCTAGCACACTGGGGGGAAATCTTAGTATTTGGATGTAAACATGATGTGAAGGCTTCGGGTCATCATTGAGCCCTTCACCATGAACAAACGCATACTCTGTAGAAAGCCTACGAATGTGATTGATGTGGGCAAGAATTCAACCACACAGCCAGTTTTTATGCACATGAGAGAATTCTTGTATGAGAGGAGAAACTTTTTTCATGTAACTAGTAAGGAAGAGCCTCAGCCCAGATCTAACATTCATGTGCACAAGAAAACTCATTCTGGGGAGAAACCCTAACACTGTAATGAATGTAGGACATTTTTGAGCAAGAGAAAACCTCCTGGTGAACAATTGGAACACAGTAAATATGGGAATCCACATGTGTGCAAACATGCTAAGTGTAAAAATGAAGGAAAGTCTCCAGCCATCACTCATATGTTAGTCAGCATTGAAGTTCTCACACTGGAGAGGTATCTGTGCCTAGAACCAATGTAGATGTGTCTTCAGCTGGAGATCACAGACAATTTCTCCAGGGGGAACACTATAATCTTTCTTTAGCACAGAACTGAGCAAATAGAGCACACTTTTGCCAGATGACATGTTATTTTAAAACATCTTTATTTAAGATGTAGGATTATGAATTGTACTTAGAAATACTTATAGCAGAAATTGGTTACAAGTAATGGTCAATGAGATGAATCCTAGTCAAAAGAGTACTAGTTAAAAATACTTGCCATGGCTGGTTTGGCTCAGCAGTTGGAGTGTTGGCCTGCGGTCTAGAGAGACCTGGGTTCGGTTCCCGCAAAGGGCATGTACCTCAGTTGCAGTTTGTCCCTGGCCCTGGTTGGATCGTGTGGGTGGCAGCTACTCGATGTGTCCCTTTCACGTTGATGTTTCTCTCTCTCTCTCTCTCCCTCCCATTCTATCTGAACAAAAAGTGGAAAAATGTCCCCGGGTGAGGATAAAAAAAAAAAAGAATACTTACTAAATTCTAGGTTGTTGCTAAAAAGTCGTCTAAAAGCATCAAGCTTTGCCCAGCTGGTGTGGCTTAGTGGATTGAGCATCATCTTATGGACTGAGAGAGAGGTCCCCTTTCGATTCCTGGTCAAGGCAAATGCCCAGGTTGCAGGCTCGATCCCTAGTGAGGGGCGTGTAGGAGACAGCCAATCGATGTTTCTCTCTCACATTGATGTTTCTATCTCTCTCTCCCTTCCTCTCTCTTTAAAAAATCAATAAAAACATATTAAAAAAATAAATAAAACCATCAAACCTTATGTTGAGTACATGAGCTAGGTTTCCTTTAATAACCCACCACTGTTAATTAGTATCTATTTTTTATGCAGCAATATACCATAATTATAAAAACTGAGGCTATCAGAAAACAACTTTGAATATTAACCAAATGTATGGAATGCAGTATAGTGGATCTTTTATTTTACCGATGTTCAGATATATGTTTATAGAAAGAACAAATGGAAATATGGATAGACATGTTTTGTAAGTGAATTAAAAACAGAGTTTCTCAGTATCATTCATGGGGCCAATAAAATGGAAATAAAAGTGAATGCCTGCGAATATGTTATAATTTCCTCTCACCGTGAAATATTACACAATGAATAAAAGTGTTTTAACGCCATGTAAGTTGATATTCATGAGGTATTATTGAGTTAGAAAAGTAAGCTGAAGAGAAAAGTAGGTATCATATGATCTTATTTGTGTAAAGCAAATAGGAAAGAAAAGCAAGTTGTTGATATGGTAATATCCTTGTACAGCAGGACAGAGAAAGCACTGAAAGACACATACCATCTCGTTAACACGAATGGGGACATGGAACAAGTGGAAAAGACCACATAAATAAAGGGGACATTCCAGATACGTCATGATCACATTTAGTTAAAATAATATATATGGCGCAGCCAGGAAAAATTGAGCCAGAATGGTCAACCTAGGGTTATATTCCTATAAAATTACTGAACCTCAAAGAATTATTTGTGAAAGCAGTACAAAAAGCTTTGAATAACTAACGGAAGTCTCTGAGTGACTAAAAGACAAGAATATTCTTTTTTCTCAAGAAAAGAAAGACCCAATAATTTTATTTCCTTCCCAAAATAATCAAACCAGTAAAAGAATATGTAAGTGTTTGACTATGTATACTTTTGTGCTCAAAATATTATATTGTTTAGAGAGGCTGTGTTTTAAGGCAGATTGTTTACTCAATAATCAAATTATTACCTTTTCTTGGGATCACAGTGAATAGCCAACTGCAGAAGTAAAATGAGACTAAACTCATGAGCCTTTTGCGGGGTCTTATTTGACACCCTTGCTCCCCAGCATAGAAGAAATTTCTGCTAAGGCAAACATATATGATACTCACTGTGTGACAGTCCATATAGAACAACATGAAAAGGAGCAAATAGCCCTGGCCGGTTTGGCTCAGCAGTTAGAGCATCAGCCTGTGGTCCAGAGAGACCCGGGTTCAGTTCCCACTAAGGGCACGTACCTTGGTTGCAGTTTGTCCCCGGCCCTGGTTGGGTCGTGCAGGAGGCAGCCACTCGATATGTCCCTTTCATGTCGATGTTTCTCTCTTTCTCTCTCTCCTTCCCACTCTACCTGAACAAAAAAAAAAAAAAAAAAGGAAAAATGTCCTCGAGTGAGGATTAAAAAACAAAAGGAGCAAATAGGTCTCACCAGTCAATTGCAGACTAGTGTAACACTGAGATTGTTGTTTCTTTCCCCTTTCTTTATAGATGAGGATGGACTTGGCATAAGTATTATTGGAATGGGTGTTGGAGCAGATGCAGGACTTGAAAAGCTGGGAATATTTGTCAAGACAGTAACAGAAGGCGGCGCTGCTCAGCGGGATGGCAGGTGAGCTGTTATTGATAACCAAGCTCCAGGAGGCTTCACAGATGATGTCTTTCAGTGGTAGCTTTCTCCTTTCTAATTGTTTAGGACAGAATTTCAGAGTATGTTTCATCTGTGGAAAATGTTAAAATACTTGAATTCCTTTCTGACTTGTAGGCAGAATACCTGATGAAAATGGGTGGATGGATCTGTTACCTCTGCCGAACCTTGTAACTATCTACTTACCTAGTAGGAAGTGGGCAGAAGCATGAGTGTATATAGTTGAGTATGTGCTATGGAGATCAGCATATAGTTTCACCTCAGAAATATCCAAACAAACGATAATAGTTCTGGCACTTTTGAAAAATGACAGAGGGAAAATAAGAACCTAACTCTGCAGTGATGGTAATCCGGGGGGTCAGTGCTTCTCAAAATGTGCCCTGTCTCAAAACACAGGTTCCTGAGTGCCACCTAAACCTGTGGAATTAAATCATTAGGAGAGAGGTCCTGCAGTCTTTACTTAAGCATCCACCTTGGGTAATGTGGATGCAAACCAGAGTATCAGATGGTCATTGTTTTATGTCTTAGCCTTCATCATCTCAAGCAACAAGTATCTTTAGATTTTCATTAATCCTCACACGAGGCCTCTGATGCCTCAGGTTGGGGTTGAAGCAGAAAGCTGGCAAGAGGAGTAAAAGTAGACACAAAAATATGAGTGCCAAATTCAAAGAAATGTCATTTTATTTTTCTTGGAATGTTGAATACCTGGCTTTGACTTTTGTCAAGGTTTAAGTATATATCACTTAACATCGTTTCAAGAAATAATAAAGCACGTTGAAAATCATTTGTGGCCCTGGCCAGTTTGGCTCAGCGGTTAGAGCGTTGGCCTGCGGTCCGGAGAGACCCGGGTTCGGTTCCCGCTAAGGGCACGTACTTCGGTTGCAGTTTGTCCCCGGCCCTGGTTGGTCGTGCGGGTGGCAGCCACTCGATGTGTCCCTTCACGTCGATGTTTCTCTCTCTCTCTCCCTTCCTCTCTCCCCTATCTGTACAAAAAATGGAAAAATATCCTCAGGTGAGGATAAAAAAAAAAAAAGAAAATCATTTGTGAATCTCTGCTGAGACCCATAGTAGCATGTAATTCTTTTGTAATCCTAAAAACACGGATAATTCTCAATGGAACTAAACTGATAAACAAGAGCACACCATTAGTATCTATCATCTCCTTCCATGACGTTCGGGACCACATTTTAGCCTTATTTGTATTCCCATAGTACTCGGACAGAGAAGGTCTGAAGTGAATCTTTTGAATGAAAGCTCAGCTGACTGAATGTGAATGTATATCACACTTAAAATAAAGAAAGTAGATCATTAATATATTGTGTTTAAAAGGAACGTATTAACAGTCATCCTCCATTTCAGAGTAGTTAAAGAAATAACCTTTTTGCCCCATCAATGAATTATATAATAGTAGTAAATATTTTTCATTATTAATTTAGAACCTATCTTCCAAGGGAGCTAAAATGTGTTTGTAAAATCTACATTTCTCCTTAAGTTTCATAAAAAATTTGAGTCTAAATTTTAAGTTTAAAAATTTAGGTTTAAATTTAATTCTAATGTGATAGGAAATAATTCTTACTAGTAGTTTTCAAACCATACGAAATTATTGTGAACCATCCCTCTTAAGTAAATGGGCCACAAAGCCAAATCAAAATACAATTAGATAAAACACAGAAAGACGGAAAATTTTACATTTGGCGCTTAGCCAGTTCCTTTGTCCTGAACTCAGACTTATTTGTTTTTTCATCACTCATTTTAGAAATTAGATTTGTTTTCTATTTTCATTCTCCTGTGTAGCTTTAGTGTTTACACTGATGTGAGCTTCCCTTTATCAGTCCCAGTGTATATTTCTTCAGTCCTTTTATTTTTAAAAAATGTTTTTTCTTTATTGATGTTAGAGAGAGAGGAAGGGAGGGAGAGATAGAGACATCGATGAGAGAGAACATCAATTGGCTGTCTCCTGCATGGGATCCGGCCCATAAACTGGGCATGTGCCCTGAGTGGGAACTGAACCGGTGACCTCTTGGTGCATGAGCATCAACCATTGAGCCACACCTGCCTGGTTCCTTAGTCCTTTTAAATGATTGTTTTCCTTGTGTAGTAATTCTTTGTTGTTGCAATAGATGCTTAATAAATGCCTCAGTGAATATATTAAGAAAGGCAACTTGATGTAATGAAATGAGGTGGGATCTTTGGGATCATGTGACCAGGAGTCATAATTACATTCCCTCTACTTACAGCTATGGGATATTGAACAAATTACTTCATTTTTATGTTATCTACATTGTTGTAAGTATTAAATAAGTTATGTAAATAAATAACTCTTTTCAGTGCAGTTTGTGAAATTATTCTTGAATGTAGTAGGAATAAACTTGAAAGTTATTAAGAAAAACTTTCTTAATAACTAACTTTTTAAAATAACTTAAAAACTATTAGTTATGGAAAGTCTTATGAAAAACAATAGAAAGATTTATAAAATATGTATAATATGTTAAAATGTTGGAGGTCAGAGGAATTTTAGAGATCTTTCAATCTATACCTTTTATTTTATATGTGTATGAAAAGTGATGAGAGGTGTGTGTGTGTGTATAAAACAATATATATACACATATATATATAAAACAATAAGTAGTTTCCTTATTAGACCTATGGTAGTGTTCTCATCTTTTAAATAATTATATTATTATTAGTACCACTATTATTTTTGTGCTAATTTGCACAGTATTTAGATGTTTATTATTTTAAAAGTATCAGTATATAAAAAATTGCAAAAGAAACAGTTGATTGCTGCCTCCAGTTAGTAATAATTTAAAAAATTATGTATGCTTATTGATATAGAAAAATATTGTATTAAGGATTTACAAAAATATTATGATTAGTGTTATTCCATTCTTGTGTGGCTATGTTTTCTAATTATACACTTCTGACGTAGCCCCCCATCTGTCTGTCTGTCTCTCTGTCTCTCTCTATGTCTCTCACACTCTCTCTAACTGAGAATTCATGCACATCAGAGTGTGGAATGACTTTAGTCTGTGCTTTTATATTGGGGGTGGGATTTCAGATAATATGGAATATTTAATTTTCCTATAGAGAATAAGTAATACTTGTATGCATATTTTAAACTACAACTACATATAATGAAGTTATCATCATGTGATCTTGGGGAAGTTACTCTTCAGAATTTACTTGTGGATAAAATTCAAGTTCTGGATTAGATGTTCTTCACAGTTCCTTTTAGCTTTAAAAAGATAAGAGTCTGTATTATACTTCTCTAGCTTGCTTTAGTTTCTTAGTAACTTTTCCTTATTTGAGAAAACTATTTCAATTTAATCTCAGATTCAAGCACACTGTTTTCAAGGGATGTTAAAAAACAGACTTACATAGAAAATCCTTTTCTCCTGCCTTCCACCCCAACACAAGAAACCTTTTTATTGTGATTGCTTTTACCCCTTACAAACATCTCAAACTCTCACCACATTTTAAGTACTTTTAAAAATGTGTATGGATATTTATCTTCTGAGTCATCCAGTGCAGTTAAAAAGTTTTGAGTCCTTCGTATTCTTTGATATTATGTCCTACTTTCTAAGTTTTCTTTTGTCAAGCTCTTCACGTCTGTGCCTTTTCATACGATGCCTGGAACATAGAGGGTGCACAACAAATATTTGTGGAATAAGTGAATGCTTGTGCTTCACCACTTTCAAAACATTCACTTGGACCTAACATTTTTCTTTTCATATTCCTTCTCTTCTTTTTCTTCTCTGCCTCTCCTCTTCTCTGCCTTTTTTTCCCCTTCCCCCTGCCCTTCCACTCCCCTTCTTCCTTCTTCCTCTCTCTTTCTCTCTTTTTATGCAACCTTACCTCTTACAGGGTAGCTTGTAATTTAGCTGAGTGACAGGATAACCGTTTTCACCTTCTGTTTTAGTAAATTCTATAGTAAAATGATGTTAAATATATTAACCATTACTTTTTTGCTGCCATACATTTTATGATTGTACATAGGACACTTTAACACTTTAACACTAATTATTTCTCCAGTCCTCTTTAATGAATCTATAAAGCAAAATGAATTTTAAAATAAAGCAATTGAAAATACGGATAGAAGAAATTACGTGAGTGATAACTGACAAAAGAGTAATAATGCCGTGCTAAAGAGGCAAATTAAAAATGTACCTGGGGTCTGTGTTGTTTCTGTTTCCTATGGTTGTTCTCAAACTTTTGTCTGCCATTTTACAACACTGTTCTTTTCAGGGTTGGGGGGGCATCAAATATGATTTAAGGTGCTATGTAATTTATCCTTATTCAGATGTTGGTTTTCAAATAATTTGAATTGGTTTTGACCGTCTTTTGGGTAACACCAACATATAAAACAGATGCCAGGTCCTTTCTTATGCCTACCCTGCAGCACACTCTCTGTCCTGTAGGCTGTCTGTGCCCCTGAGGAACACTCAGGCCTGGGACAACCCTGCACGAAAACTGCCCTTGTAATTGTGCCCATCTGTCCTGATTCCTTAGTCCATGGTCTCCTATCTGTACACACACTCTTGTGTCACTGTTCTAATCAAATATTTTGCTTGTTCACCCCTTAGAAAGTTGGGATATTACCGCTTTGATAGGTACATATATTTTCGTATGCATTTCGAACTTTACTACCTAGCCTTTTGGGGTTGACCCAAGTTCATTACTGTTGCTCCAGCTGGTCTCCCTTTCATTCGTTTTGATTGCTTTGTTCACATAAGCCCTGTGAGCAGAATTTCTGTTTTTGTTTCCCCTTGCCCAGTACATCATGTCAATAAATAACTACCCAATAACATTAAGCGAACCCTAGAATAACCCAACTTATATATTTTTATTAGACTTACCCCCTGTTGGTACTGGCTTGCAGATTCAGAATTGAGGGGTGTCAGAAATACCGACTCGGCTGAAGAGCAGTCGTGTTGCACACGTGTTTATTAGCACATGGAAACTGT